ACATTATTATTTTAAGTTACTAAGCATTGTGTATTCAGTTTGTAAGGGATTTCCCTGGTGGCTCAGAGGTAAAGAATCTAGGGTCAGATCCCTAGGTCAAGAAGATCCCCTGGAAAAGGAAATGGGCAACCCACTCCAGTATTCTTGCCTGGAAAATCCTATGGACAGAGGAGCCTGATGGGCTACAGTCCATGGGGTCACAAAGAGTCAGACACGACTCAGCAACTCAGCAACAACAATAACAATTCAGTTTGTGGCCACGTGAATGTGATTTTTTTTCTCCCCCTGAGGGCTTTTTGAGATTTGGGCACTTTTTTTACAAGTTCTGATGGACTGGAGGTGATGTGACTCAGTTTTAGCACCCAGCCCAATACCAGATATAGTTGGATTGAATGTCTGTGTCAGGAAAGAAACTCTGTGCCTGAGTGGGAGACTCGAGGGGTGGGATGGATGTTTGGGCCCCTCTCGCTTATCTTTTCTAGACTAGAGCCCTAAGCCTAGTAAAAGGAAGGAGCTTCTGAAGCCATGAGAATCAGACAGTAATTCCAGGAATCTTTCTGATTCCAAAGCTTGTGCATTCCCCCTCCCTTACTAGTTGCCTCATGAGTCAGCAGTCAATTCTAAGCCAGGTTCTGTGACCTTGGGCACTTTTCCCCTCTGAGCCTCAGTTTCCCTAACAGCAAAATGAGTAGATTAAACTATATCTCAGAGGTCCCTTCCATCTATTAAAAAAAAAAAAATTGGGTCATCATTCTTCATGTAGAATATAAAATCTCAGTTTGCTATAATACTTGTTTATGTTAATATTTAACCAGAGTTCTAGCTTAATGCATCTGATTTTAAAAGAGAGTCGTTGCAAAATAACTACAGTTCTTAAAATTTGACATTTAAAAAGAGAATAGAGTTCAGCATCAAAAGCTGGAATGTGATACCAAGAGCACAACAGATAAAAACAGTATTCTTTTAAAATTCCAGTCGTATGATTTAATTTTATATTTCTTTTTTTCTCTCTCTCTCTCTATTTAAGAGAAAATAACACAAGCTTGAAAAGCAGTAAATATGTAAAGAGAAAATTTGTCAACTGGTATTGGAAGATCTGACCCAGGTCACACATAAATCTCTCCGACAAGAGCTGCAGGGCAAGCCATAATTTCAGAGAGTAAAAGAGAAAATGAAAGCTCGAGCTTATATCTTCTCTAAGTTCCATAGGTGGATTCATTTTAGTTTTCTGATTGTGCTTCTGAATATAAAAGGGCTGGTAGCAAGGTCTGTCTACCATCGTGTGTGAAAAAGTACCTCTCCAGAGACAGAAGCATAATGTGAGCCTTCCAAAGTTGCTTTTTATCACCAGAGTCATTGATTAAATAATTGAGGCCCCATAAGCAAACTTTTGCATCAGTAATTTCCTTTCCAGGTTCATTTTCCAGAGTCACAGGTCACATTACAGGAGCTTTTTAAATCGCCAGCTGTATGGTCCTCTTAAGGAAATATAAGACCCAACTGATATTTAGGCCTGCCTGTTGTGAAGTCATTCTTCCCCATTTAGACACATAAGGGTCTGTCTTATGTTAGAATGAGGCATCCCCTATTAGTGTGGCTTAAAATCTTAGATCTAACAGCTGATGAGCAGGAAAAAAAAAAAAAAAAGCTATGCCCAGAAGAGAGAAGAGGTTTATCTAACTAGTGTTTCAAAATGCTGCTGGTTCTAGAGACTGATCAGCCAAGTCTATGACTGGAGCAATTATCATTCTGTTCTTTGTCCCTATTTATTAGTTAGACATAGAGAACTCGGTATGAGCAAAATGTGTAGGCAGGAAGGTGGACTTGGACAGGTTAGTTATAAACAGCATCTCATATGTTGGGAGATACAAGCAGTACATCAGCCCTAACAATGTTATTGTGTCCCTCTGAACTCTGCTCTCAGATCTAAGCATTTGGAAGGCAGACCCAGAATAAAGAGAGGCATTCACGAAGCTAACATTTTATATTGAGAACCCTTAGTACCCCTTTTAATGCACTATAAAATCAGGGGCTTCACTTTTTCATGAACTGTGTGTAAACGCAGAGGCAGTGACTGGAGGCTGACTTTGTTCGGGTCTGTTTTATGGTCGCTGTGCCTGTACAGTAATGTGATCTTGAAAAAGGTAAACAACAAAGAGTTTAGCAGTGAAAAATACGCCTAATATAAATATAGTCGTGTACATGGCACTTCAGAATTTGAAAAATATGACCATGGCATTAAATTTTCTGGTGGAATTAACAGAGGAACAGAAATATAGCATTTAAGGCCATATATCTGAGACAGAGAAAGGAGATAATACATCTAACTCTATAGTCTGTGTGGCATTCATATAAAGAAAAGCACAGTAGCTTTATTTAATTGAGAAAATGAATCAATTACAATGATGTTGCATCATCAGATTCTTGTGAAATAGAAGATATAAGTCACTGCATTGTGTAACAGTGTTAAAAAGTAATTGAGTATCTTAAGCATTTTGAATCAATTTCAGGTACTGGCACTGCTACCTTAATACAAAATTTATGAAGATGATTTCATATAATATGTTGCTGTCAAAACCGTACAATAAAACATGGTAACAATGTCTCTCTTTAAAAACCTGGGCAAAACAGTATGGTTATAAGATCATAAAACAGACTTTGATGTTGCTATTTCTCCTTTTCTTGTAGTAAAGAGTACAGTTTTAAGTGGTCTTAAACCATGCTTTTAACCCAAAGAATGGGGCAAGGTGGAGACTTTTTCCTAGGTCTCAGTCTGTGAGGAAAATTTCATTTAGTTCACGGAACTGCTGTTACTGGAAACAATGTCTCACAATCCATCCCTGAATTCATTTTGAAACCTATCACTTAAAATGTTGGCTACATGTTTTCCTTGGAGAATTTGTAATCCCCCTGACTGCTGGAAATTTGTGGAAAAACATTCTCTTTGATGTCAAAAATGGTTTTCTAATTCTGTGTTCACTGCAAGTAACTCTCTTGTTGAAGTAGATTTATCTCACTAAGAATGTTAGGGGCATGGGTATGTATGTATGTATACTTAAAAAAAAATACAGTTGGCCCTTGAACAACAAAGGGGTTAATCTGGGTTTAATTTAGTTGGCCCCCCATGTCTGAATATCTGAGGTTCCTTCACATCCATGGATTCAACCAACCACGAACCATCAAGTACTCTAGTATTTACTAATGAAAACTAGCCTCGTGTAAGTGGGCTGCACATTTCAAATGCGTGTTGTTCAAGGACCAGCTGTAAAAGCAAGCACCAACGGTATCTCATAAGAGAATTTGCCTGGGGTTTTCATGATTTTTTAAAGGAGCCGTGGCTTTTTACTAAAATCCTAACCACTCCAAGGTGGTAGTTAAGAGCCGTCTTCCTTTTTAATGTAAACGTTTCCCTGCAGATCCTTATACAGAAGTGCACGCTGACTAGAGGAATAAGAAGGCGCAGTATTCAGTAGGAACTGCCAAAGTAGACTAAGACCCAATCCAGCTCGGATGGAAGCTTCAGGGAGTCGTGCCTGGGGATGGCATGATGCAGATCCAAGAGCAGGAAAGAGAGGATACCATGTTCAGTTAAGATAACACATGGGAAAACACTTTTTAAAACACTCAGGCGCTGGGTGGGAGGGTCTGCTGGTCAGCCGTAGGGATGCAAAAGAAATGGAGAAACAGGGCTTCTGCCCTGGAGAAGCGTAACAGTCCAGTTCAGAAGAACCCGCGCGCCAAAACTGGTAATTTATCAACTTTACCATGCCAAATATAAACACATGTGAATCCAGTTGTTTTTAAGGAATGCTGTGATGTAGGCGGATATGATGCTGGAGAGAGGGGGGCGTGGGAGAGGCCCCAGAAGAACCACAGCCGGATCCTGGAGGTCTTGGGCCTGCCCCCACCTCTGGGAGGCCCAGTTTTTCCCATCCTAGACTGGGGATGACCGTCCTTGCCAGACTGAGGGTGGTTGTGCAATCTAATGACAATGTGTATGTGAAAGAACTTCTAAAAGCACCATTAAAAGCATCTAAGAAACTATTAACTAGTTTACCTATATTTTACCAGCTTGTTGAAGCACAGTCTATCCCAGCAAACAGCTGACCCCTCAGTAATTGTATATAAGCCCTGAAATTTTCCTCCTTAGGAAATTTAATACCTGGGACTCCATTTTCGTTGAGTTTGTAGTAACTGCAAGGCAATTTTTCTTAGAGGGGTGGTTGGAGAGGGAGGGACACTTAAGTGTCTAATACTTGAACTACTAAGTGGATGTTTTATTAATTTAGTGACTTTCTAAGAGACATGGTTTATTGATGTTAGCTGTGTGAGCATCCTGCCTCCAGAACAGGCATTCCTCTTTGACTCAGTTCTCATCCCCTAGAAAGGAGTGTTAAAACTTGCATGCATTTGATTTTCCCAGAAAGCATTGCTGCCCTGCAAACAGGCTGGAGGAACTTTGGAAAAGGTGGAATCCTCACCCACTCTTGAGTCAGAGGCAAATACTTCAACCACATAATTAAAGTTTTCTTCACAAAATAGGGGATTGTGAGCAGACACTGGCAGGAATCCAAAATTCTAATTTCTGACTATGATTTAATTTCAATTTTAAATAAATCGGTTTTTAATTTAAAAAGAGTGAGCTTCATAACATTAGCAATGATTGCAACATTAAGCCCAGTGTTCACAATCTAGCAATATAAAACATTATTTATATCTGAATCGTAAACAGCCTTTTGAAATGGATTATGGTTTTTCTCCCTATTCTAATACAACCTGGAGGGTACTAAAAAGTGTTGTGTGAAATTAACATTCTGCTGACTTTCGCCTATAAATGAGAAGCGAGCTATTAACATTTGTGTATTTTCATTATGTAAATTGTGTTAACACATGCCCACAAATTGCCACCAGCAATGCAATAATTTTCTCTCAGTGATCATAATGTGTCCAAGTGAGTCATTTTGATTATGACATGCTAATTACATATTGCCTTTTTTCAGATTCAGAAAAACCAGGGATCTTTAATGGTAAGCTTTATGAGTTCAGAAAAAAATTCACTTTTCTTTTTCCTGATGGCTGCTTCCTTTGCATGCTTGAATGCCTTGTTTTAAACTTAGCAAATTGCATTTTGAAGAAAATGCAAACCTTTAACTGCCTGTATTAGATTAGGTACCATTAGAAATAATAGAACATCCTGAGCATCAATGTTTTTATAAGAGTTTGCTGTTGTTGATTAATCTTGCTATATTTTATTGCATTAATGATTTTTTCTTTCCACTCCACTGTAAAGATATTGCATAGAGGCTAATACTTTTCTCTCTCTTCTTTCCCATTGCAGCCTCTCCAGCTTCTGCAGTGCATTGTTGATGAGGTGAGGCATCGTCTTATGTGCTTTCACTCCTAAAGTCATTCCTAATGGTGTGGAAAGCTTATATTTTGTTTCCTAATGAAGCACAGTGCCCAACATCCTCAGAGCAAGTTGTGTTGTATGGTTCTGAGCTGTGTTACGTGAACTGGCCTTGTCCTGAATCCCGCTCTTCTGATGCCGGCTGAGGACCTCTGCCAAAACAGACTATCCTACAGGCTGGTCCTTGGGGGTATCAGAAGCCCTGAAGACAAAACACGATAATATTAATTTATCCTCTCTCTGGCCAGATGGGGATGGAGCCGGAAATTAAAGTGGTACCATTTTTTTTCTGTAACAGATATTTAAAGTCGTTCAGTAGACAAGGGTCAGAGTTGAACAGCAGAAATAAGCTGGATAAAATTTTTCCTCCTTGCTTTACTTACCCAAAGCATAGCAGAGTGACAAAAGTGTTGAAAAGCTCTAGGTTAACAATTCAGCTTTAATTCCTAATTAGGCATTTCCCACCCCCACCCCCACCCCCACCCCCACCCCCCCACCACCGAACATACTCCTGACTTTTAACTGGTATTTTCACATGTTACGTCACCCTACCTCTGATCATCCTTATCCATCAAGTTTCACTGTCCCCTTTTGCCTTCATGGAGTTAAGCTACCTGAATTTCATTCTCAGTCAGCTTTTCTACTTTCGACTCTGCCTTTAAATTCCTTTTTTTCTGTAAATTAGCAGTCTTACGGTATACAAGATTCCAATTAAGAAACATTAATGTTTTGTAGAAACAATTTTTCTGGGCTTGGGCTTGCCTGCTAGCAGTGTTTATTTTTTAAACTTTAATTTTACAATATTTGAAATGCTTGTAGTGAAGGCGATAAATGTTTCAGATAGGAAAGTTTGAAAGAAAAAAAATCGTAATTCATAATTATTCCTCTCAATTAAACATCTGTATAACCAGTTATGAGATTTGGGAGGAAAAATAAAGATCCTCCTAGGAAAAAAACAAACACGTACACATATCACAATCATAGTAAGAATGGGGCTCCAGCATCCTTAATGGCTGCATCAGTCAGTCCATATATCCCATGCAAGCCATAAACCATGCTAGTGCAAAAATGAAGGCATCGTCCTGAAACAAAGGAGGCCCCATTATCTCACATATCAGACAGACCTCCTGCATCTAATAGCTCATCAATGTCTTCTGTCATCTTAGATTCTGAAGGCATCCCATCCCCACCAGAATCCTCCTAATTAAACTGATTTCCGTGAGCTCCCCCTTCAGGATTGCTTAGGAAGGTGTCCCGGGAAACGGCCTACCCAGTCAAGTGCACAGCCTGCCACATTTCCTGGGCTCTACTGTTCTTGGTCTGCCAGACTCTTGGGCAGCAGAATATTCAGGTACAGATATCTTCTCCAATAATACGGGTATTGCTGGAGAGCTCACTTGAAGATTTTCTGGATCAAATGGATATTTGTATTCCTTATTTAAAGTAGCCGTGATTGCTATTGAATGTAAAATATTTTACTTGTTTGAGTTGGGTAAAATCTTGAGACTTTTGAAATCATCATAGGGAGATTTTCTAAGAAGAGAAGGTCTATGTGATGAAGGACAATAGCTTATAACTTAAATAGTATGTTCTTCTTTATAGCGCTTCTTCCTCAGTTGAGAGAAAACTGTAACTTAGACATCTATTCCCATTTCATCTAAAAACATTGATATCTTTTTTATGGAGACTTGGGAAATTCACATATATCTTTAAAACAAACATAAGTTAATCTTGGAACCAGCTGATGGTTGGTAATAAGAGTATTAGGAATGAGTTGGCCAGATGACCTCCTTAGGCAAGGTGCATCATAGCTTCTAAGAAAGGAAGGGTTGGTGGGATCCTTTGATAACTGTGCTTGTCCCATGTTTGTCAGATTTCTCATTGCTGTAAAACAGTGTCTCTCAAAGGGTATGGGTAGTTCAAGGACTAACTACATCAGGATTATCTAAGACAGTTGTTTAAAATGCAGACTCTTGGACCTAGATCACTGAATTCTACTTTCTAGGAATGGAGTCCAGGAATCTACATTTTCCTAGCTTCCCAAGTAATTTTGCACAATAAAGTTTGAGAACCTCTTCTATTAATATAATGGCTAAGTCTGCCCTTGTAGATCCCAGAGGACAATTACCTATCTATCTTCATTTACATCTGACATTTAGGGCTTCTATTTCTGAGTCAGTGTAACCAGCCAGGATTTGAACCATCTTACTCCTTGGGCATGGGATATACCCCATTATGAAATGGCTCTTCAGTGAGCCTATACTGTTTCTCTTAGGAAAAAGTTAACAATCAAAAAGGACCACCCTCAAAGGAATCTAAGTCAGATAAGATGGATATATTTGGAGTCACGTACAAAATAGTTAAATAAGCAAAGCCCAGTCAGTGTAACATACTTTATTTATGTGGATATACCTTGACCTCCTAGCGTGGCCTGGCAAAGAATGAAGAAGTAGTAAAACAACATCATGTGGATAGGAGGTGGTGCTAGAGTGGCCAGGGGTGAACCTCAGGAGTTGGGAGTCAGGAGGTGGAATTGTGGGACAAAGCCAGAGTTAGCCATTTTAGATCCAGATAGAAGACACCAAAAGTTAAACCAGAGGAGTAAGAGCGATGAACATGAAATTTGAACCACAGAATAGAAACTGGAAGGGTAGCCAAAGAACCAGGCAGGGGAGTGGGGGGTGGAGTTTCTCCAGCTTGGACCTGGCTAACTCAGCATGTGACTGCTGTCTTAGAGTCACCGTATTTGCCTCAGAGTTGCTTCTCTCAAGAGAACTTCTTACTGTAAAACTCATAACCGGTCCACTCCAAGTCCTTGAATGCCTGAATTGTAAAGTACTTCGGTTTGTTGTCACTCATGTATGTCTGTGTGCCACGATGCCTTGGCCATCTGATGTCTTTGGGAAATAAGGTGGCCCTTACTGTCAAGATAACTGATAACTGCTTTGAGCTCTGACATCAATGAGAAAATTTGCATTTTTAGAAAGAATGTTTCTAAAATGTATTTGCTTTTGGCACCCTATTGATAAAGTGTGGTGAATATCATTTTTCACTAATATAAAGGTTTCATTGTATCGTAACCTTTTTTTGACGACTCAAGTCCATGTTTTGAACATAGCACTGAACTAAACTTTGATGTATTGATGTCCTATAGGGTTATAGAATTATGGGGATCTTGCCTTTCTCTTTTTTTTTTTTTTTTTTTAAATTTATTTATTTATTTATTTTTTTAATCACAACCATAGTGTATCTTTTTTTTTTTTTTTTTACATGTATTCCCCATCCCGGTCCCCCCTCCCACCTCCCTCTCCACCCAATCCCTCTGGGTCTTCCCAGTGCACCAGGCCCGAGCACTTGTCTCATGCACCCAACCTGGGCTGGTGAACTGTTTCACCCTAGATAATATACATGTTTCAATGCTGTTCTCTTGAAACATCCCACCCTCGCCATCTCCCAGAGTCCACAAGTCTGTTCTATACATAGGAGTCTCTTTTTCTGTTTTGCACATAGGGTTATCATTACCATCTTTCTAAATTCCATATATATGTGTTAGTATACTGTAATGGTCTTTATCTTTCTGGCTTACTTCGCTCTGTATAATGGGCTCCAGTTTCATCCATCTCATTAGAACTGATTCAAATGAATTCTTTTTAATGGCTGAGTAATATTCCATGGTGTATATGTACCACAGCTTCCTCATCCATTCGTCTGCTGATGGGCATCTAGGTTGCTTCCATGTCCTGGCTATTATAAACAGTGCTGCGATGAACATTGGGGTACATGTGTCTCTTTCAGATCTGGTTTCCTCGGTGTGTATGCCCAGAAGTGGGATTGCTGGGTCATATGGCAGTTCTATTTCCAGCTTTTTAAGAAATCTCCACACTGTTTTCCATAGTGGCTGTACTAATTTGCATTCCCACCAACAGTGTAAGAGGGTTCCCTTTTCTCCACACCCTCTCCAGCATTTATTGCTTGTAGACTTTTGGATAGCAGCCATCCTGACTGGTGTGTAATGGTACCTCATTGTGGTTTTGATTTGCATTTCTCTGATAATGTTGAGCATCTTTTCATGTGTTTGTTAGCCTTGCCTTTCTCTTTTAGTGAATTTCTGAGCCATTTTGCCTGTGTTATTTTGCTTTAGCACTCAGCAGTATACTTGGGCTTTTTGAAGTGTATAGAACCATTTGCTCCCAGACTAAATGGCCCAACAAGGGTGTGCTGATCTGCTTCATGCTTTTCTTGTGTTCTCTCTTGTGATCACCTCTGTTTTCTGTGGTCACTCTTCATTCTTGTCAGTGACTACTTGTTAGCCTGGTGATCTGATCATCTTGTCTTCAGTCTTTACACTCCTCACAGCTGACTGATAGCAAAACTGAAAGGTATCAAATGAAATTGGATACCCAAGTGCTATGTGTAAGGTCAAACACACTCATCTGAGAAGAGCAAATAAGACTGCTGAAGTAAAATGAGTGGACTTATGTTCATTCATTTCAGCAGATAGTTCTCAAAAGTGCCCATTGTATACTAGCCCAAGTTGACTACGCCATGCTCAGGACAGCCTCCAAGACCAGAGAGAATTGGGCTTCTGGGCAAGGCTCCCAGATCAACTGCAAATTAGGTGAGTCAGGGTAGAAAGGCAGAGGCACAGTCGCAGATCCTAGGCCAGTGCAGTGTACTGGGACCCAGGAGGCTATATGGCTATCCAGGGCTCTCCATAGTGCATGGGGTCCCAGTTTGACTGGCAACAAAGGACTGGCCACACTGGTGATGGTAGATGGGAACAGAAAGGTGATGGCTGAGTCACCAAAACCCAGGGCTGGCTAGAGCCAGCCAGGAAATCAATGAATTGAGGTGCTGGAAACTACAAAGACTGAAGTGGGGACTTCCCCCTTGAGCCTACCCAGCCACAGACTTGGAAACAGAAATAAATAATTATGCTTCACTATAGGGTGCATACTATACAA